AGATTCCAGCTGGCGATGAAGCAACCGGCCACGGTTCAAACAGGTCCACTTCGAGGTTTCATGCAGGCCCTCCAAGATGTTCCAAAGCATTGGGTCGGACCGCCAACCTGGGGCCAGTTCTTTGACACCAGTCACCACTGGCACCGCTACAGAGACACCCATGCAGCAGAGTTGGTGCTGCAAACCATAGCCCATCAGCTCCGCGAAGCACTACAAGCAGCCAATGAGGAAGCCCACCTCCAGTACAAAGACTGGCTCAAGCAAGGAGAGGCCAAAGGGCTCAGAGGTCTATTTCGGAGCCTCAAAAGCAGTGAACTAGCCTGGGAGCGGCCCTACAGAAACCTCCCACCGGATGAGAGGATGACGCAAAGATTTCAGACTGGGGAAAGTTATGGCAGATCAGGCAAACGGAGCAGCCACACGAACGACCCAGTCTGCAAACACAGGCCAGACAACAAGCACTACAACTTGAGCCCCTCACAATTGGCCACCTGGCCTCGGTTCTCAAGCACCTTCCGGATAAGGCATGCGGACCTGATGCAGTGTCAGCCCAGCTTCTGCGCACAGCACCCCCGTTGGCACTGCAGCCGCTTCTCAAGCTGTTCCAAGACATGGAGCACCAAGCACAGCTGCCAACACAACAACAGATGCACATGGTCATCATGTTGCCTAAGACCAGCACCAAGGAGAGGCCCATCACACTCACCTCCCTACTGTACCGTGTGTGGTGCAGACTCAGAAAACCAGTGCTGGACCAATGGCAAAAACAGCTGCCACCCACAATGCAACATGACAGAGCCAGACCGGGCGCCCAAGTCCTGCAGGTGGCTTTGGAAAGGCTACTCCGCCAGGAGGTCCACAAGGCCAATGGATGTCATGGAGTCACCTGCCTAATGGACATGAGCACGTTCTATGACACCATCAACCTCACCAGACTCCAACAAGAGGCACTCCGGCTAGACTACCCACCCCTGATGTTGGAGCTAGCCATGCAGCTGTACACGGGCCCCAAAGCCATCCTTGCGGAGCAGGAAATGACTCCCTTTTTCACCGTCCAAAATGGAGTCCCAGCTGGATGCCCCCAAGCACCCTTGTTGGCCAAGGCCGTGTTGGCACCAGCGCTCCAACCATGGCAGGTCCAACACCCTGACGTGCACCTCTCGAGCTGGGTTGATGATGTCGGCTTTGACACGGCTGGACGATCGCCCATGGCTGTGGCACAAAAGGCAGTCAATGCATACAGAGACATGCATCGCCGACTTGTTGAACTGGGCCTCAAAGTCAACCCACAGAAAACAGCATTCATAGCAACCGACCGCAGCACCGACAAAGCACTGCGTGAGCTCCTTCAGCCAGACGAGCCGCCTGTTGCGACGGTCATGAGGGACCTTGGAGTAGACCATCAAGGGGCCAGGCGACGAAGGATACCGGTGATGAAACACAGACTGGCCAAAGCCCACAAACGCAAGGTCAAGCTTCGCACTTTGCGAATTCCCACTCTGAAGATCCGACTCCGCCTTCATCGTGGAGGAGTACAACCCGCGGCCCTATGGGGAGTTGAAGGCCAAGGCCTGGCCCCCCCCCCACGATACCGGCAGGCCTTGCGACAAGCCATGGCCAAGCATCTTGGGCATCATACTGGCGGCCTGTTGGACAGCACCTATGACCTCCATCAAAAGAAGTACATTGATCCAGCAGACCAGGTCATCATCCACCATATCAAGGCTATCCATAGCCTCATACAAGCCTGGCCCACTGAACAAATGGCAGCACTTGAGCAGGCCTGGGAGACCACATTTCACCAGCTGCACACCAAGCAATACCCGTGGTACACAGTCCGTGGACCCATGGCAGCGGCCATCACCTACCTCAAGGAGTGGGGCTGGCAGGCCAACAACCTGAGGAGATGGACGAGGGCGGAGACGCCACTAATGCTTAGCAATGAAGTTGACATGCACCAGCCTTGGTGGAAGGTTGAGAAAATCCTCTTACTGGAAGCCAAAAACCAGCGCACCAACCGACTCGCCAGCAGACCTTTCCACCACCACCTCATCACGGGCATTGACTGGCACACGTATCATGAAGTCAAGAAGACTCTACCAGCACAACACAGGCGCCACCTCAACACATGGACCCAAGCAGTTTCGGGAGGCTACTAAGGTCAAGCAATGCCCAATATGCCAAGTAGAGGCCACGCCTAAGCACATCCTCTGGCTCTGCAAATGGCACAAGTCCCAGAAGCATGAAGCCATGCCGCCAGAATGGATGGAACGGATCACATCCAAGGAAGAAGAACCTTTGTGGTCCACAGGATGGATTCCCTTGGAGCCCCAAGAGCATAAACACCAAGAACACCCGTACCAAGGACATGGATGGTGGGCAGACCTGGGGACGATAGCACCCACACCGTATAGCGGCTGGGCCTACACGCTCGATGCCACACCGTCCACCTATGATGACAGAACACAGCTCTGGGTGTTCGGGCTGTGCGCACACACCATGGCCCTCAGCCAACTCAAACGCTTGGGAGCGCTCACTGGAGTTCCCAAAGGCGATCAAACTAAAGCCAGGGCTTTGCTGGCAGGAGTGGTGGCCCTGGCCAAGCACACCACCACACCAGCTAAGGTGATTGTCCAGATAGCCACTGTGTGGGAAGCTTGGCACCAGCCCCGCAGCCGACCACCCTTCCAGGACATCCTAGAAGACATCACAGACCAGGACTACAGCCGCATCTCCGTGCTGTACATTCCAAGGCAAACTCGAACCCCAGACGCACCAGGCAATGAACCCCAGCTCCGAAAGCGCCAAAGGGATTCAGCCCTGGCAGCATGGGAGCGTTCCAAGCAATTCCAGAACCCCAAACAAGATGAATGGCAGGAAATTCTCGATGCCGACCACCGACAAATATACCGCCATGCGATCCAACGGCTGGCCAAGATCTTCGACGACCCACAACATTACATACACCAGAAAGCTCCCAAGCATCAAGGCAAAAACACCAAGAACTTCAAGAGGGACTTGGTGAGGCAATGTGCCAACAAATGGACAGACAACCATCACAGATGGGAGCCCCACCGCAGCGGCCAAAGGCCCTCACAAACTGGCCAAAAAGGCCTGAAACATAAGCAACTCTAGGAAAAAATACATACATACATACATACATACATACATACATAAATACATACATACATACATACACCCATCCATGCATCCATGCATCCATGCATCCATGCATCCATGCATCCATCCATCCATCCATGCATGCATGCATGCATACATGCATACATGCATACGTTACATTACATTACATTACATTACATACATACGTACTTACATACTTGCTTACATACTTACACACTTACATGCTTGCATGCTTGCTGGCTTGCTTGCTGGCTTGCTGGCTGGCTGGCTTGCTTGCTGGCTGGCTTGCTGGCTGGCTGGCTTGCTTGCTGGCTGGCTTGCTGGCTGGCTGGCTTGCTTGCTGGCTGGCTTGCTGGCTGGCCGGCTGGCTTGCTTGCTTGTTGGCTTGCTGGCTGGCTTGCTTGCTGGCTGGCTGGCTTGCTTGCTTGCTGGCTGGCTGCCTTGCTTGCTTGCTGGCTGGCTGCCTTGCTTGCTAGCTAGCTTGCTTGCTTGCTTACACCTCTGATAATCTTTTCATTTTCGCTCCAACCTTCAGGACGTCCGCAGGGCAGTTCTCGAGATTTCACCAGCCCGCCCTTGCAGGCGGGGTAGAGCGGGGTGGTGCTCTGTGGTTCTCTTGGATGGACCTGGTTGGACTTTGGGGCTTCGCATATGTTCATCCGCCGGTTTCAAGACTGGGTTGAAGACCATGGTAAGGCGGTAAGTCTGGGCTCTTGAAACCCAGATCTGCTAAGATTCACATCTCCGCTTGTGACCCACATCACAAATCACGCATTTTTACAGCCTTTTAACCCGGCTGCATGCCTGTTTTGGATTGTTTCCCAGATTCAGCCACCCTGAAAGTCACTCAACGGATGACAATGTCCGTGAGATTTGAAAGCAACTCACCAATGATCACCAATGGGCCAATGGGCTGCGAAAGGGTCCAGGGAACCCAATATATAGATGTGGTTTCAGCCAATGGTGATCGTTGAACACGTATAATTGAAAAATACCGAAACTCCAACATGGACAACCCCGCCCCGACATCCAACAACATCCAACAACCAAAGGTTTCTGGCGCTTTGTCTGGGTCGCGTCAGGTGCTGAATGGTTTGGGAGGTCCCAAGGAGCGCTTCGAATTGCCGCGACGCTATCTGCGAGTATCAGCGAGAGTGGTGAGACAGTGCACCTGGTAGAGTGGCAGAGTGATGAGTGGGGCAGACTCTGCAACTTCTTCTGTTTACTGATGACTCGGTCGTTCTCAACCTCGGTCGCCTGACAGGGACCGATCCCTGGTGGTTCGTGTCCTTTCCCGTGGCCTCGTTTCACCGAAAGAGCCGTTTTGTCATCACTCCGGCCTGGAAGGTGCGGATGACTCCGGCCTCATCCATTCAGCAGTCAGCAGTCAGAGCTCTTTTTTGCAAGGTATTAAATGCCTAGCTGCAGTCGTATGCTTAACAGGTCGCTGGGAGACCTAGCAACCTGTTCTAAAGTTGTGCCTATTGGGGGGGAGATCTCCGTCCTTGTGTCTTTGGGAAGAATTGGGACTCGGAAGAAGCCGGTGGCTAGCCATGAAGCTTGAAAAAGACATGGAGACCGGTGCTGGAAAGCAGCGACCGGTGCTGAATTAAGTGGTGGGAACTCCATGAAACTGTTCAGTTAGATGCAGAGAAAGGTCAAATCCTGCCAGAATTGCTAGGGGCCTATCTGGGGGTGTCCATTGATCTTCCATTGCCACATGTAACGCGTCACTCCTTGGATCGTGCTCGGTCATGGTCGCACCTCCGCCTCACTCTCGTCGGTGCCACCGCCCCCCGCGGCGCGGCGGATCGTTCTAGGACTCCCCGGAGGGCACCGGAGGTGGCAAGTCGCTGAAGATGCCGGAACGTCAGTTGCTGGCGGAAATGCTGCGAGGCGCTCTCCTCATGCGCTGTCACTTGGTCGTGGCTGTGATTTGTGTCCGTTGGAATGCTGCGGTAGGTGAAGTAAGGCCAAGAACTCGGCTCTGAGGTGTTTGGAAGGTTCAGGTCATGGAATGTTGGAAGAACTCTGCCCGGAAAATACCCAATTTCACTTGGGACGTGCTATGATGTGCTGGAGAGAGGATGGTGCCAAGAACACACCAAAAACGATCAAAAAGGCAACATGTACATTTGAGCACAGCTCCGACGCGCACAAACTCAGACCATCCAGAGATCTCCGTCAGGACAACTCCATATTCGCGTCCCATGTCGTTTTGAGATGTCTTGAGGGGTCAGCCGCAGGCCAGCCACCATCCTACGTTTGGATTGACCGAGAGAGGCACCCTGCTGATGTCACAGGTCTTATCGCCCAAAAAAGATTGTATAGTTTGCAAACATGACACTAAAAACACACGTTCCTGGGTGTGATAGGGATTGGAATGTCCTATGAGGAAAATCGCCACCCCCGAGGTACCCATTTCATTCCGGGATCCTGGGTGATCTTTCGGGAGGCATCACGGGTCCCCACGCACGCACCGTTCAACGAGTCGTCTACAAGTCTCGTCTTTTCCGGCACAGGCACTTTCCCAGCGATCGACGTGCCCACCTTCAACCAGGCGGCAGTTCCTCCTTCAACCAAGCGCAACCGGAGCCCCGGACACGCGGGGTGGCGCAGCTTCTTCTGTCGTATCCCAGAGGGATGGTGCGTTAGAAACCTGAGATGTGCGTTTTCTCTATATATGCAACTGAGAGCCGATGGATCGGCGATGGATCGGTGGTCTATACATTTATGTTGATCAACACCCAAATGAGCAGCTTCAAAAACCTGATATGATGAAAAGTGTGCTTCAAAAACCTGTATGATTATACAAAAAAGTAATAGGGGTTTTCGAATCTGCTCAAATGATGTGCTGGCATTTTCCTAATCATCACCAGCCGTTTTTCCCACAGTCCTGAACGCTGCCAGGCAGAATGTCGTCGGGCCGCGCTCTTCCATTACGACCGAGAGAACGACGCCATCTTCTTTCGGCATTTCGTCGCGTGGCTTTGCGTTCCGGGCCTGCTGACCTGTACCAAGGGTTTACACTAATGGTGAGGATTCCAATTCAACAGATCCCCTCAAGAGCTTGAGTCAGTTGGTTTTCAGTTGCTGATCTCATCAAGCGGATTCAAGTGGATTCAAATCGTGCGCAAGCGAGTCCACGATGATGGTCTACTTATTTTAAACAGAGCTGCAGCAAACTCATGTTCCGAACGGGTCACGCGCAAAGCTTACCTTGGCGAGATGTTCATGACCTCACACGCCACATGTGTTTTTGCCCATGTGTGTGCTTTGGTTGATGTTACTGTTTGTCAGCCGTAAGGCTCAACTTGTTTGCACAAGACTTTGCCGAACAGCTTGAGATCTGCCCACCCAAACAGTCATGAGGCTCTGGTGCTCTATGGGTTTGTGCGATAGAAGAAAACACAGAGTGATACACAGATACACTTCTGTTTTTGTACCAACAGGGAAACAGCTTTCTGGACATGACTGCATCGTCTTGGGGCCACGATCACCTAAGGTGGTGGGCCGGCGCCAGCTGGGCCTCGAGCGCGGTGACTGGGACAGCAGATGGTGCGGTTGAGGGGTCACTACCCTGCGGTTCAGGGTTCCCCCGAAGGGTAGTTGAAAAAACAGATGCAATGGTAACCTGATTCAACATGTAAGGTCTCCGAGGTTTCATGGTAAATCTCAGTTTATTTCCAGTGCAGCGTCGGCAATGCACATATGAGGTGAATGATGGTGAATGTAAATATTCCTCAGGGAAAGAGATGCAACCTATTCACCAATCTGGTTGCAATGACAGCTTGTTTCAAGTACTTGGAGAAGGCCGGAATAGTTGTTCTATGCTGTTCTTGCTCTCTTGTGAAGCCTTTCCACCCCAAGATTCCATGTGGAATGTCGTGCTTTCATCCAGGGATCAAGAAGCTGACCAAGTTCAACCGTTTGCCGAACCTCTCTGGCAAGGCTCGGGGCCCACGCCAGCATGAGGAAGGAATCAATTGTCCTCTAGGACACTTAAACCGCTTACCTGAAGGTGGCAGTGGTGGCTCGCAGGTGTGTCGAGGATATTCTGTCCATCTTTGTATCCCAGATTTACTTTGGCAACCTACCGACCTGTCAACCCACCTCCTTGCGCTGCTATTCTTTGTTTGTCATTGTGGGCAAGTCATGGGGCAAGCTCCGGCTCTTGATGTCTTTCCTGCTTTTCGATGTTTGTCACGTGAAGGAGTAGACGGTGGGGAGTAGACGGTCGACAGGTAGTTCCTTCATGATGTTCTTTCGGATCCCTTCTCTTAAGCATCGCCAGACAAATGAGCACCAACGTGGATCTGGTCATTCGAGGATTGATGGTGGATTCCGCTTGCCAGGCGGAAAGAGCAACAAAACCAATGTTGTTTGGAGCATTCAAGTGGATTTGAAGCGAAGCGCCGGACAGAGCGACTTTCCATGACCCAGCTGGGTGGTGTTTGTTGGATGGACATGGATGGAAGATTGACCGATTGACCAGCTTGTCAGCTTGTCATTGATTCATATTCATTGATGATTGATTGTTATTGCGTATTTACTGTAATCATCAAAGCACACTCTATGGACTACGAAGTATGTGCCTACCCTGGGCGACCTTGACCACTCTTCAAACATTAAGTGTAATGTATCTTAGAATCCCACTTCGAGGTTGTTCATAGAGCACTTCTTCACTGTGCTGGAAACCTGTAAAAACCTGACTAAATCATACTAAATCCTACTAAATTCCCATTTGGGAAATGCGTGGGAAAGAGTTGGGATTTCAGATTGAATTTTGTCAGGTTTGACTTGACTTGGACACAAGGCACTCACATTGCCTGCCCCTTGGGAGTGGTTGAGGGGTGCCCCCAAAGCCGGAAAGTGTTCAAAACATTTGCAAAACTGCATATAAGATCAAACAATCAAATGTTAAACAAAACATAACAAACCAAATGTAACAATTATTTCCAACTTTTAGTGTTATTTGTTCTTATTGTTTTCGTTTGGAGGCTATCCCAAAAGTGGGAAAAGTTCAGGTTTTTGTGGGAAACGGTCAGGTTTTTGTGGGAAAAGTTCAGGTTTTTGTGGGAAAAGGTCAGGTCCCTTCAGGTTCTGATGGGAAAACCATCAGAGTGGTGCCCAAAGGCGGGAAAATTGTGTCATCAGTTAGAGTGGAAACCGATGGATTAAGAACCATGCAAATGGTGGAAACATGTGGAAAAAGCAAAGGCAAAAGTGGGAATGACATGGGAAGGCAATGACATTTACTATCCACAGGCTAGTGGCGCCCAAAAGTGGGAAAGCCAGTGGAAGGGTTTGAGCTTTAGTCAAGGTTGTGCCCAAAAGCGGCAAAGCCATATCATTGGAAGGCATTGACATTTACTATCCAGGGCTGAGCTTTAGTGAAAGGTTGTGTCCAAAGTGTTGTTTTTTCTTGGGATTTTTATTGTTCCCTGTAGGGTTTGTGTAGGTTTATGTAGGGTTCTTGCTGGTTCTCATGTTAGACCACATTCAGCGAAGCGATACCCTATGAACAACATATGGCAGTGACCCTTTGAATGTAGATCAACTTTGCAATCATACAAATGTATGGAACAGTTTTCATAAGAGTTTTCATTCATTGAGCCGTCATTGACCCTTCACAAAGCCAATGCAAAGATGTGCAAATGCGGAAACACATACATCTCCGACGGACAGGCGGAGGGAGGGATGGACGGATGGTATGCATCATGGACTGGATGGCTGGCTGGCTGGGTGGACGGATGGATGCATGACCATTGGTCATCCCCAAAAAACCATCAAAAAATCAACCAAAAAACCACTGTCTGGTTTCTCTCTATGGATGGACATCTTGGTCTGCGAATGCTTCCCGTCTTCCACAGGCGGACATCGCCGACTTCGTCACCGGCGGCGGCGCGGTGACCTCGGAGTCAGAGGTGGACGAAGCGGCCGAGGCCGTCGCGGCGGAGGTCGCCCCCACTGAGAGGGGATTGGGTCAGTTAAGGCCTACCTAGAAGGGGGCAGAGACAAGACAAAGGCCCGGGTGGTTCAATTATGTCAGGGCCTTCCAACAGGTGGTTTTCGGAGACCCCGAATCACCTCTAAGAGTCTAAGAGGCTATTGATAGACATCTCTTGAAAGGCCCTGGTAGTTATTATAGATCCCTAAGAATCCGAGTCCGGGCTCGACCTCTTCAAGGTCGGACCCGACACCGAAACGCAAGGGTCTGGGCCTTCACCAAACCCTATCTGTTGCTTCGGGCCCGGATTCTTAGGGATACACCTTTGTTTGTCATTGAGTCATTGAGCAATGTCACAAAGCATCACCCCACGGTTTGGTCATGTTTGGTCACCGACATGAGCAACTCTACCACATGGGAAGACGACTAAAGTGGAAGAAGTTTGGTGACAAAAAGATACAAAAAGGGTAAATGGGCTAGTGCACGTAAATTAATCTAAGTTGTGTGTAAATTTGATTTTCGTGGTGTTTAGATGTTTTTAGCACTTAATTACTAGTACTTTTCTTGAATATGTCCTGCGAGATTGTCCTCGAACCTCATTCGGAACTTGCTGAAGTATTGCTACATCAAATGCACAACTAAAAGCATTGTGGTAGAAATTGAGAAGAGATAAGAGCGCTTCAGCCAGATTCAAGGTCATTGTTGTTTGTAGCAGGCACTGTAGGAAGCGTTTAAAGGCTGTCTCTCTTGAGTTGCAACAAGTGCCTGTACTTGGACCTGGCCAATGTGGTTGCCCAATGTTTCTTCAGAAAGCAAAGAAAAGAAGACATCAGGGACAGACTTAGAGCAAGAAGAGCCAAGGAAAACAAAAAGGTACACAGAAGAAGCAGAAGCACAGAGAGTGAGAATGCAAGGAGATTGCATGAGGAGAATATTCTTGGAAGGACTTTGAGGTTATTCAGGTCCAGGTCCTCCTGACCCTTCCAAGAAGTCCATCCAAGAAGTCCATCAGTCCTCCTGACCCAGATGTCCACAGCGTGTTCGCAACACCCTGAGTTCGATCCTGACGGGTCTGTCGTTCGATCCCGGCACCCTTCGGATCCTGCGCTGCGCTTCCTCATCAGATCCCCGGCACCTGGAAGAGTGGCCGCGTGGCCGTGCGGCTGTCGGAGGCCGGGCCAAGGCTGCGGCTGCTGCTCATCAAGGCGGAGCAAAACGGTCGGTGTGAGGCTCGATTCGTAAACCGACAATCAAGGATATGGCACACTGTAATTACAGTAATTCCCTAAAATATCTATATAGAACATATGTAATTACACAATATATATATATATATTTAGTAGATAGATGTGTGATTTTGCAAACAACCCGTAAACAATGTATATATATATATACATCGGTATGTTAACCCGACCAAGGAGATACAGTGATGACGATATGGTCGCTCTCTCGAAATTGCTATAAATCGCATCATGCGAACTATTTTACGGAGTCTCCTTTTAGGCGTCTGAGAACATCACCCCAAATTCTAGGTGCTCAATATGGCAAAGTTCGCTTCCAGGCATGGGCGAAAAACAAAAAGGGCAACGTAGAAAAGGTTCATCAATGGTCCATTGGTGTGTCTTCTTTTCGATCGAACACCGCTGCGAATTGATCCACTTGGCGAGGTCTTGCTTTGACATCTTTGACTTTAAATCCGAGCCAGAGATGTTGGTGAACATTGTCCAAGCATTTGTGGGTTCACAACTCGGGGGTCCAGCTTTTCTTTTTGTCTCTTTGCTTTCGTGCGACTCGAGAAAGTCCAGAACTCGCCCAAGAAAAAAGCATCGCCTCAGGCTGAAGAGGGTGTTTGCACTGGCGGTGGCTTGGTTTTGTAGAAGTTAAAAGACACAAGTGGCGGTTTTTGGTTTTGTGGCTTGGTTTTGAACTGGCAGTGTTTTGCACGTTCAGTTAAACTTGTTGTTCTTTTGTGATCCCAATGTTCGAGATGACCAAAGGCATTTGATAACATCGGTGGCACCGATGGCTTATTTACAATTTCTGCTTTGGCTCACACATGTTCAGACCGTTTCTTTGCGATATCAGCTGCCGACACGTCTGATTCGTTACCCAGGCGTGATGTACCACCGCTTCCTCACAAAGACACCCTCTCAGCAGCAGGCACGGTGAAGTTTGGTTCTTGGAAGTTTGGCATCCAAAGACAGTCCAAAGACATGCCATGAATTGGAGCCTAGCAGTCCGGATTCTCTAGCAAATGGTTTATATATAAATATATATACACAGTGAGTTGATCATGAGTCCACTTTGAAGCTAAATGACGGGTTTTCATATGTATATATATATATATGTGTGTGTTCATACATGTGTTCATGTGGTTTCCAGGTACTCCAGGAACGAGCCCGGCAGCGACAGAAGCTCAAAGAGCGCAATGCTCGTTTGGCCCCTCGGCGTTGAAGCACGTCGACACGATGTTCATGTAGACTCTTGACCGTCCCCCCACATGAAAAGGATTTCCAATTCAAACGGGCCGATGTCGACATATAATCAAGAGTCTACATTCGGATGGTGGAAGAGTTCAATTGTCAACGGTTGACTCTTTGACGATTTCAGGGAGAATGATTGGCTCAGTAAAGACACCCACCTGGTCAGCGTTTTATTTCGCGGCTCCAGCAGATTTTGCTGCGCGATGGCTGGCGAGTCAACACCTTGGTAGCCCCAAAATGCTCCAAACCCTGGAAACTGTCGACCTCCCTTGTGCCAAACTGTAGACCTCCCTTGCAGATAGTTAAAACCTCAGTCAGTCTTGTGCAATTGTCTTGGTCGACCTCCCTTGGTGTCATCCGGTCGACCAGTCGGTCCCCTGGTTCCATGACCCATATGACCCACATCGAGTCACGTGCTGCGCTCAGGAAGCAAAGGCCAAAGCGGTAAAGAAGCGAAAAAAAGATAAATCCAAGGCCGGATAGCACGCCCAAGCGACAGAGAACGAGTTTCAGACTGCTAAACAGTCAATTCCAAGTTGTCAACATGTAGTTCACTCACGAAAGAAAAACCTAGAGCAAAGATTCCCACCATTCTTTGTTGTTCATGGTTTTTGGGCCCTCCTCACAGTGCTGGTCGTCTTCTCTTCTGTCACAACTGAAAGAAAAGGGCTTAGTTGCATTGAGAGGTGAGAGGATTTAACTAACACCAACTACCACAATCATTTGTTGCTTGCTCAAGGAATCCTTACTTTTTGATGCTTTTAGAGTGGTTTGGCCAGGATGACGACGAGGAGGAAGACAAGGCAGACCTCAACATGGATGATGATGACTGAGCCAAGGCACTCACTTGATCGCATTATGAATCCCACACACACACACAAAAAGAAGAGATGCATTTGTATTTTTTTTGCTAGCTTGCTCTTACTCACGAAGTACAAGTCCTGGCTTGCAGTTCTATTTGGAGATTGATACTCCGTTGCTTTGTGGCTTCGTGTCTCAACATGGACACATGCTTGGGCGAGTCAGAGGACCAGACCACTGGTGCAAGGAACATGGCGTACATGCTGCACCATGCCGCGCCTGCCGGAAAAAAGAGAGTGCACCAACGGCTTAAACGGATGCGTGTTGAATGTCCAACGGTTAGGCCATCCACTGAAGAGCCGGATCGTGGGGTTAGTTCTTGTGGTTCAATGCTGGGTTAGGGAGCGCGATGTGAGTGTTTTTATGTGGATCTTCCATGGTCTTTGCTTTGTTTGAGACTTTGTGCAAATTGACGCCATAGCCCATAGCCATTGTGTGTTGGTAATCATATGTAATCACGGTATGATTCACAAGACAACAGATGAAGACAAAAGGATCTATAAAGTATAATGATGTGTCCAAGATACCTAACCAAAAAGCAGTCGAGTCATGTCCTGACACGACTTGACAGAGCAAGTTGTTGCTGATGCTGCATCCACCTCGCTGCACCATTGACTCCTACCCCTGTCCAGAGGTTTCCTGCGCCATTTCCCAGGAGCACCGTGCCGGGGTACCGCTTCAATTCGGACGCGCTGGCTGGCCCGGAGCCCGAGAATGACGTCCTGAGGTTTGCGCAGGTGCATGAACATATATTACATATTCTATATTTAATGTGGTATTTGTCATGCCGTTGAATCCCTGTTTTGCGGCACCTGCCAGGTGAGGGTTGTTAAACGTTATCAGAGCTGTCAACTCCTTCTCGTCTCCTCCCCCGCTCCTCCACCTCAACTGCGAGGGCTAGATCGCAGTGGGCATCACCGGCCCTGAGCCAGAACGCCAGAAGAGATGCCAAATAGATTGCCAGAAAGAATGTCAGAATTTGTGCAAGATAGAGTCTTAGAGTGTCAGACAGAACGCCAGAAGAGATGCCAGAAAGCAGAATGTCCGGCTGAATGCAAAAAAAATGTCAGAAAATGTGCCAGGTAGAATGCCAGAGTATATTTGCCAGATAGATTGCAAAAATATCTGCCAGATAGACTGCCAGGTAAAATGTCAGATAGGATGCCAGAATATATGCCCAATAGAATGCCAGAGTAGTACATGCGGTGGGGATCACTCAAAGTAAAGTCTGTATTCTTTGCGCTCCCAGTTGACTGAACGATGCCTCCATCAAGATGTTCCGGACACTTCCCAAACCGACTTCCCCATCGTCGAAGCCACCAGCGGCGCAATGCAGCCGGTCCAGTGGACCGAGTCGCGAGAAGCGCTGGCGCCGAGGTCTCAACCGAGTTGCGCAGGCCTTCGTGTGCTTTGTGACGGATCGGTCTCTCATGGAGGTGGCCCGCATGCATTTGGGGCCCTTTGAGGGGTGGAGCCAAGATGGGGGAGAGGAGGGGAAGGGTGAGAGGGGAGGGGCCGAGGGATGCCAGATATAGGTTTTTTCTCTTCAATGTTTGTGGTATATCATGCGTATTATTTTTTGCTTTACGACGTCGACAAACGGAACCTCATGAAGATTTGCTGACTCAGGACAAAAAATGATTAAGCAAGGAGAATTCAATGTCCTCGCTGCATGAATTTTCCTCTTCGAGTTTGTAGAAGGAGGGAGAACGAAACGTGCTGAAACAGTGAGAAGTACCAACAAAAACTCCCTTGCTCAGAATTGGTTATCAATGACGATCATCCGAAAACATCGACATTTGATCTCCAAGGTGTTTCATTCTATATCTACGGCGGGGTGGATCAACATCCGGGACCCCAGCAGCTCACCTTTAAACTGAAGAAGGTTGGCCCCAATCAATTTTATGATGACCACATTGGACAGTCCACTGCTTTCGTAACATACCCAATGTCCTCCAGGTGGGGGAATAATGGCCTCAAAAGTTTGGGCATGGAGAATGCAGACAGACCCAATATGTTTTTACATGTCTCTACTATTTTTGACAAAGGAACAACAATATATATATATATACTGTATACAGTGTATACTGTATATATATAAAGGCTTGATTTGGCTCAGGCTGTTTATTTTATATAGCCCATCCTGGCAACCACATATGCATATCATGGTCAGGATTGAACCAGCGGACATCCTGCATGAAACCAACGTGGAACTCTTGGCAACAACTGTTGTATAACAATATCAAGTGCTCTAACTGCTTTGGTTTGTTGCGTTCCTCGTCCGGAGGGTCGTAACCTAGCCCAAGAGTGGTTAAATTTGTGGCAAGACCAGTGTGGTGTCCAAAGCCCAGACTCTCTTTGGAACGTTGATGAACGTTGGACATTTTCCCAAATAGCTTTGGGACAACTTGGGAAGGACAGAGTTTACTCTGAAGGTTTCTTGGTTCAGACAGAGCTGAGCGTGACCTTGCCTAGGGCCACGCCATGTGCAGATACCCAGCGCTTGTTCCCTCCTGCGGCCACCACGGCCACGTTCCAGGTTCACCGGGAACAGACCTCCAAGGCCGCGACAAAAGCTCCAGACAGTGGGCCATGAGTCATGGGATCACATACGAGATTTGTATAGATTTGTTGTTTTCTTCTGAGAAGTGAGATTTGGGGGGTTGTCGGCCTTGATTTGGTGGTCTAAAGGTGAGGGCGAAGTGGCTTTCAGAAGTGGCTTGATTCGCACATCTACCAGTTCGCAAGTTGGAGAGGGGACATGTGCAAGGTGAATCTGGGTAGTATTTTGCAGGCCCGAGTTTTGCAACTTGTATCCGTTGCATTTGCAAGGCCCATTTACTTGGGTTATCCTTAAGGCCCTCTAACGTTGATGATGTTCTTTTGATGGCATCATTCAAAGTCAGGCTATCTATCTATCTATCTATCTATCTATCTATCTATCTAATGTATGTGTTATATCATCTTTGACATACTGTTTTGGTCGATACATGATCGACCTGATGCTACAGGACCCCGTAGAGGACCACTCCGATGCTTCGCCAGGCGAAGAAGGGCAGCAAGCCGCCGGCCGGGGGGGCCCGGGTGTCGTTGGCCTGGGTGTCATGGGGCGTGAATGGATTCAGGAGATGTAGGCGTGAATGGATGGGCGGTCATGTAGGTTCCATCATACGTCCTTGGTGGATCTTGATGGGCGAAGTAGGAGACCGGATGCGTATGGCAAGTAGGAAACCATCCCGATCTGCCAGTGGTCATAGGAAAGGATGATGAAACAGACACATTTCACAAGTGGCATCATTTTGACAGACCCTTCAAAAGGCAAACAAGCTCTTAGAGATTAGCCACAGTAACCCTGCTGCTTGCCCTGCACCAGCGTTTTGGGAGGTTTTGCACGGCAATTGGCTCAGGTCTTGCGCAAAACACTGTCGGTCGGAGACCCCAGGAGTTGCCAGCATCGCCAACTTCTGCGTGTTCGCGGGAGAGTTCTGTGCTGCTGGTTCTTGTGTACAAGGGTTGAATCGCCCCTAGGTGAATCTGGACAAGTGCCAATAGTGCCACTGGCAATAACTCGAGTGATATGCCATGGTTTAGGGTCAGCTGACAGTCACATGTTGTTGTTGTTGTTGTTGTTGTTGTTGTTGGTAGAGACAAAAACAGCCGCCCAACATAGTTGTCACATGTTGCAAGTCAGGGATTTCAATGGGATTCTGTTAGGGATAGGGTCGAAGGTTTGAAGAGATGTTAGTAGCTGGACTTCTTGTTGTTGTGGTACTCAAGTCTTGGTTGGTCTGCTTCTTGTTTTTTGTTGTGTTGTTTTGGGGGGGGGGTCAAAAAACAACAACGGGGTTGCAGATTTTGTTTCTAGGGGGGGGTAGAGACAACAACATCTTTTGGAAGGGGGGGGTCCAAAAAACAACCACGGGGTTGCAGTTTTTGTTTCTAGGATGTGGTAGAGGTTCTAAGTAGAAGTTTTACAGGGTTTACTTAACCAGTTACAATAAGCATCACCAGTAGCATGACCCTCAGAGGAGTTTCATAGACCCTAAGAAGGCGTTTAAATCGACCATATTGTTCCATTGGAATCCAAAAACTTCCAGGAGTCTCCAAGAAAAGATTGATGTTCAGTGCATAGATTGAGAACCGGGTTTCCACCCCCTCGCCTCCGCACACGCCCTGCGCACTGTCCACACATCCCGGGGTGGGGGGTGTCTACCACTAGTAGTAGTAGTAGTAGTAGTAGTAGTAGTAGTAGTAGTAGTAGTA